CAGTATCTTGCAGTAGGCTATAGCACTGTGCCTGATCAGGCTATTGCAATAAACTACTGTATATTTAACGTTACAGAAAATTACAATGGATAAGACTGATGATAGAAGTGAGTTTTAAGATATGAATTGACTAGAGTGGTTAGTAGACCTACCATGTAAGGAAAGTTTATCCAGTGATTTGGGCAGTATGGAAGAAGGTAAATTAAGATGCTAAGTTGTTTTAGGGAAACAGCACAGTTATTTTTATGAGGTGCACATTTGCATTTCTCAAGGCCTGATCAAAACCCCATTAAAATCAATTCTTTCCATTGACTTCAATGGATCTTGCTTCAGGTACTCATCAGTTAAGTGATTCTTTTTGTGTGCTTACAATGGGAGAATAGTCAAATGATACCAGTTCATATACATTTATACATTTATATTTTATAAATTCTTCCTTTGAAAAAAATTACTTCTAAAATTGTTATTTTAAGACTAGAACTTTTATTTAAACATATTATATGCTAAAGTGCTAGAAGGCAATCATGGCAGCAACATAACGAGTGTCTCCTTATAACAGGACAGATGCTGATTATGCCATTCTGTCAGAATGATTTATATTAAACAATAGAATGCAAATAACCAGCAAAATCAGCTAAAAGAAAACATTATATATCCCAATATGATAACCCTAATTAAACTATTTAGAATTCTCCCCAGCATAATTTTCATAGCCAGGAATAAAGGAATAGGTAATTTAAATGTAAATCTGCTATTCCTCTTTACATAAAGCAACATTTTTCATATAACTGTAAACCCTCCCCCACAAACTGTGTTTTGCCTTTTATCCTTCACAAAGCAAGCAAAATCAGGATTCTACCATTTTGGGGTAAAAACATTGCTTAGTGTAGGTTTTTGGTTTGGGGATTTTTAAAAAAATAATTTCCTCTGGTTTTGGTAAGGATTTAGGTATAGGAAGGTTATGTCTGTCAGTTTTCAAAGTGTCATTGTCATGATGAAAGGCTTTAATTTTTTGTGTGTGATTTTGCTGAAAAGATGGTTCTTTTAATACACATCTGGCCAGAAAACCACTTCCCAAAGGGAGAGTAGGGAGATATATTACCAGGAAACACAATCAGAGAGAGAGAGAAACAGCTTGCTTCCTCCCTTCCCACATTGGGTACCTCTATACAGCAGGGATAAAATTGAATTAAGCTACACAACTTGTGCTACGTGAATTGCATAGCTTAAGTCAAAATAGCTTAATTTGGTTTTTGGCACTGTCTACACAGCAAGAAATTGAAAGAAGAACACTTCCTTCGACTTCCTTACTCCTTGTAAAATGAGGATTGCAGAAGTCAGAATAAGAAGTCCTACAGCTCACCATTATTTTGAAATAATGGCTTGCAGTGTAGCCAAGCTCTTTGTTATTTTGAGAGGCTATGATTTCAGCTTCTTCAGCCTTCTGTGTAGTTCCCTTTCACTCCATCCATTTCCTCGGGCTACGCTCATGAAACAAAATTTGGTCATAGGAAAATAGGAGGAAACTGCGGTTTACTACTAGATCATTGCTAGTAAGAACTAATTGTTCTATAGTCAGCTGATCATGAAGTAGAATTTTGTGCATCTTTTTGTTAGAGATGTTATGCTGGGGATTGGGATAACCCTCTTTGAAGCTGGAGAACATAACCACCACCCTTCATTCTGATAAATGTAAAACAAAACAAAACAAAACAATTAACCTCCTCTATATAATAGACAGGAGCCACCACCCAAAATACAGGTCATGCAGGAGCAGTCAGTGATGTAAGCTATTTGGATAGAGGTGAAGGGATTTTCACTATGGGTTAGTTAGGTATTGTTTAAAGTGATGTGTGTGAGACAAAGAAGCAGGAAAAATACTATAGAAACACACAAAACAAACATTAAGGGAGCCCCAGCAATAGCTTGAGAAACATCAGTAGTATGATTCTGAAAAGTTAAGAGGGAATGCTTTTGGGTAGAGTGCTGGCTGAAAGAGATTCGGAACTATGAAAAAAAGAAAACAACGTGTGTGAGAAATTGATTTTTCAATTTATGGGAAATTCCACAATTTTGAAATTTGTTCTCAATCTGAAATGGAAGAAAAGCAAAATGCTTTAAAATTTCTCACTAAACAAACTTAAAAAAAAACGATTAGTTGTGGGTCAATCAAGAAGCTTTGTTTCAACACAGTCAAAAAGTTTCATTCTGATTTTAACTTGTTATTATATAATAACTATATATTTTAGAAATGTGTATCTGTCTGTGAGTCCATTTGTTCAAGAATGCCTCATAAATGGTAAAAGCTAGGACCACCAAATTTGGTATGAGTGTTTCCCTTCTCCTAACTTTTCCTGAGTTTGATTGCACCAGGAAAATGGGATCTGCCTGGAATGGGATTGTTTTCTCTAACAGGGAAATGGAGGGGGCTGATTGGAGGGACAGCTATACTGCATAGTGACCATTGGTCGCAGTGAATGTGGGGGACACCTATACTGCAGAGTGACCACTGGAGACAGCCACTCCACCAAGACAGTGGCCAGCTGGGACATGGGGATGCCATCTTGCTAGCCAATGGCCTTCTGCCCTGAATCTCCCACATCATCAAGGCCCTGCTCTGACTCCTGCAACAACACACTGCCAGCCCCTGCCCTGAAGGACCCAGGCAAGTCTTCTAGTAATGTATAATACAGAATTGAAATGTAAAATCATTGTAAATGTAAAATCATTTTGAAACAGGATATTTTAAAAGTTCCATTGGAAAAAAGGTTGGAAAAGAATATTTTCATCTTTGATCAGTATTTTCCAACTGATAAATGTTCCATGGAAAATTTCCTACCTGCTGTATTCATCAGCACAAGAAGATTTTACCTCCAGAATATAGAAGTATCTATGCATTCCTCAGAGCGATCACCTTTGAAGTGGTAAGATCTCCCAGGAAACAAAAACTAGAATTTTGTAGGATCTGTCATGATGGATCACATTCAACTAAACCAGCGGACTAGCAAGGTTAGCCATCATATCGATAGATGAGCTCATCTGGATTGTCATAGGACTGCCTGATGTGCTGAAGGGAGACAGCAGGCCTACTTTTAAGCTCGGCAGAAGCAGTGGATTGCTAATTCCTTGATATTTTTGCTTGCAACTGCAGTCATTGGATTCCCTTGCTCCCCCTCAGTCCTATTCCCTGTCTGGTTTCTGACTCTTGGATTGGATTCCCCCTGGGTCTGATTCTAACCACTAAACCAGACTGCTGGAATCTAGACTCCTGACAGGATACATTTAAACTTTATCCTGAATTTTCTAAACTGAATTCAAATAAAATAAATAATTTTATTAAACCACAGATTATATGGCAGTTTGCAGACTCATCTTAGATGGGTTAAATTCAAAGTTTAGGTAGTTCCTGCCTCTAGGAGTTAACACTTCTATGCTTGCATGTGTGTATATTGCCTAACATAATTGATCCTGGTCTACAATTGGGTTCTTAGGCACTACCGTAATACAAATAATAAATCACACTATTATCTTAATGGGATTGTGAGCAAACTAATTGCAAGGTAGTATATTTTGAAAATGCTTACTACTCACTACATTAATATTTTACTAAGTCAATGAAATGTGTTCCAGACACTTGCTTTTAAATGGCTAACATTTGCACCAGTGTTTACCTCCATAGTCAGGCCTGTACACAGGGGAGGTGTGAAGGGTGCAAACTTTCCCCCCCACATGGTCCTCCAAGTAAGTGTGAGGCTGGGGTGGTGTGTTGCCCCAGCCTCCCTCCCACCGTGCTCTGGTTGGCCAGGGAAAGTCTGGGGTTGATTCCTTCTCCCCACCAGGAGCAAGACTGGGGTGAGGCCGTGGACCCTTCCCACAGCTCTCAGCCCCCCACAGAAATTCCTGCATATGGCCCTGATAATCATGTTAATTTCATACATGTATAGCACTTAATACAGACAATTATTCTGTATTTTAATTAGTAATGCTTGTGGCATATAAATCATTTTCCAGCAAACCCTTTCCTACAGTGTCTGTGTTCCAGACAGCACCTAGTACAGTGTTTTTTAAACTATGTTCCATGGCATCGGAGGTGTGCCACAGAGAACAGAATTCAAAATGGCCACCCTTAAAAGAACAGGCACCCTTTTTTCCACAATAACTTTTCCCCCAACCCTTTTTTTCTTCAGTAACTTTCCCCCGACCCTTCCTCCCCCCCCAACTTTTTTTTTCCTCTACAAAAAATCCTTGGTGTTCCTCATAAAAAAAATATTGTTTGGTGTTCCTCAGTCTTAAAAAGTTTAAGAAACACTGACCTAGTACAAGGGAATCACCAGAACTATGATTAATTGCTTAGTTTTGACAGGAATACATGATTGTCTGCTTTAACTAAAGAAGAACTAATGTAAAGTAAGCAACCACAGCAGCAGCCTTACTGCTGATTCTGTCTTAATCTATTTTTAAAGGTTTATCAAGTAACAGTATCTGACACTCTAAACACATGCAATTTTTCGAGGCTAGTGTTATAAACATGGTAACAAAATGTTCATATTATTTCCCCAAAGTTTTCACACGGTGAGTAGGAACAAAGTAGTAAGCAAACAACACAATATTTATTTGAAAAGAGTTATTGAATATCTGCTCATCTAGGATAGATCAGAAGCTTTTCAGGGCATGCACCTTGTTTTTTATGCATTTGGAAAGCTCCTTTGTCCCATTGAAATCAAAGGCAATTTTACTCAGGTCAGGATTTCAGGAATTGGCCCAAAATACTGGGAAAAACAAAAGTGCTAGCAAAATGTACCAAGCTAAAAAGAAATGATTAAATATTAGCACAAGCAAACAACAGTTCCTATATTTAAGCAATATAAACTACAGATGGATTCCAAAAAGAATAAATATGCTCCACTTCTCTGGATTTTTTTCTTTTTTGACCATATGCTCTATTTTAGCAACTTCAGGTAATTAATCTAATGTCTGAAACTGTAAATGTTTGTACTTACACTTGGAATGCTATTACAGGGTCAGGCTAGTGGCTTGAAAGAAAAATTGACAAATATGGTGTCTGTTCAATCCACAGTGCTGTGTGTAGTTGAATATTTCAGTGTTCGTTGGCTGGGTCTGATCATAGTACAGTGAGTCTTTTAAAGAGAGTCTATTTCATCACACTGCAGCAGGTGCCTCTTCCAAGGGTAATTTTGGAAGGAGTGTATTGGCAAGGCAAGTAATTTCCCTGTGGCTTCTGTGGGAGCAAGAGTTGATCTTAAGTTTTCATACTAAGGTACTGAGTTGCTTTGAGTCTCCTAAGCACATGCTGAAGTGCTTTGCTAAGTAGGGATGTTAAAAGTTATTACATACTACTTATATGCTTTGCTGAACCATGAAGGCGTCACTAGTCTCTGATGAATCCATAGAGGGTTTTGTGTGAAGTAAATGGCAGTAATGTCAATGAGCTCACTAAGAAACTGAGGTAGACTAAATTGGAAATGTTAGTAAATTGAGAGCTCCAGGGACTTGCTGTTTCAAGTTACAAAGGACAAAACAACTGCAAGTGTTCACATCTATTTAATAGTGAACATCTACAGATTTACCGGTAGCAAGTGGGCTAAAGAAAGCAAAGGGTATCCGGTGAATTTTAACAGTCACAGAAAATTCACACTTTTTTAACAAAATGATTAACAGATTCATTATTTTGTGATTTTGGCTCCAGTCCTGCAATGAGAGCCTCAAAGGAAGACCCTGTCCATAGGGGAAACCCAGTGAAAGTTGATGAATGTCCACATTGCCTTAGGGCTCTGTACAGAGTTGAGAGGCTTGTTTCTGTGATCATTTTATTCTTGACTAATCTGCTGAGACTACTGCTATGACTCCTAGACAACAGCCACACAGCAGCTGAGTTTGACACTCTGAGATTGATTCGCTGGCGATCAATTTGGTATAGGGGTCTCAAACTCCTCTATGGCTAGAGTACTTTTGCAGAGGGAACAGTGTGCAATAGGAGGGAAAGGGTGAGGTTTGGGGGATGGGGAGGGACACATGTCCTCCCCTAGGCCACCAGTACTCCTGGGCCAGATTGCAAAAATGCTCTGGCCGTTGATAGTCTCTGGGCCATGAGTCTGAGATCCCTGATTTAGCAGGTCTAGTGAAAACCCTGCCAATTAACTGCAGATCACTTCGCAGTCACCCCCGGACAAGAAGAGTAAGTAGACACAAGGGTTTCCTCCCATCACCTCCCCTATGGTGTAGACCCACAGTAACTCAAGCTAAGGTATGTCAACTCCAGCTACGTTATTCACGAAGCTGGAGTTGCACTCCTTAGGTCGACTTTCCACCACAGTATAGTCATAAGTAGTGGCTAAGTATATCTCTAGTCCTGTCTCAGGATGGCTAGTTCTTATATAAAACCTAGATGGGAGTCTCTGATAATCTTTTTCTTGGTTGTTCCATAAGCATAGTCTAAACAGACTATTCACTGGAACTAACCACTGCCATCAAGACTACTAATTAGTATTGACTGAGGCAGTTTTTGTGATCAAGTCAGTCATTGCTCAGCAGAAACTGGACTGAGACCTATCAAACTCTTTTCAAGGCCACTGAGGTGTTAGACTTTCATACACTGCCCTTCCTTAACTATATTTTATAGCATGTTGTCTGCAGATTGACAATTTAGAAAAAATAACTTATAGATGAAGTGTCTACTGTAGGGCTAACATAAAACTACTTTGAAAGACATCTAATGTAAATATTAATCATATGGAATGTAATTAACCACAAAGTATAATGAAGTCTTCCTCCTATGCAGATATTTGCATATTAATGTAACTTAATATCAGGGATGAAATCTAGGCTTCATTAACCTTAATATGGTTAGGATTTCAACCCATAATGTCTTTATTAGAAGAGAAAAAAAGGCTCTAAAAACTGCCTAAGGTGTGCAACTTTTGCTAAAACTTCTTTTGCAGTAGTAGTGAGGGAACAAAGGACACACCTGGAAGTGAACCACTGAAACCAATCAAAACCTAAACTGCTAGCACTACACACCCTATAGCAGCCAGTCACAGGTATGGGTACCCTGCCGTGTTTATGAAAAGTGCTTTATTATAATTCTCATCCTTTCTAGGAGCGGTCATTATTGCACATGCTACTGTTAAAGAGCACACAAACACCAAGATGGGGAGAAATGCCAATATTCAGTAAAACAACATGCAGGAAAGATTCCAACCATCTGACAATCTAGAAGTTAACAAGGAGGGGGGCTGTCTTTAAAAGGTCTTTTTAAAAGTATGTATTTTTAAATGTCTGCTGTGACCTTGACACTATACAAGACACACAAATGGAGGAATCTGGGTTTCCAGAAGGTAGAGACAGAAAGTAATATTGAAGAACATAGTATAGGTTCGGGGCTGGGAGCGGAGTCTGGCCAGCTGGGCAGCTGCTGGGGCCGGGAGCAGGCCAGTGGCTAGAAGGGAGCCAGCCAGGAGGCCAGTGCCCTCGGGAGAACCCTGACCTCCCCTGGTCCTGCAAACTCCCCTGTCTAGGGCCAGGCAGGTCCCCAGGGTGACAGCCCTGGTGAGGCCAACCTGTATTGCTGTTCAACCATTAAATTTTCTTGCTTTCAGATTAGTACAGGTTGAACCTCCCGACCTGAATGGTCCCAAAGGAGGGATTTTGCTGAACTAGGGGAGGTAATTTCTGCCCCCCTCCCACCGGCCCCCCAGCCTGGCTCTACTCCTTGCCTGGCTTCCTAATAGGCTCCCCATGTGTGACCAGCCCTGCGATCCCTCCACTGGGGCTCTCAGGGTACGTCTAGACTACAGAGTTTTGTCGACAGAAGTTTTGTCGACAGATACTGTCAACAAAGCTTCTGTCGACAAAGAGCATCTACACTACATTCAGTTCTGTCGACAAAGCAAGCTGCTTTGTCGACATGGCAGTGTAGACGCAAGGACAGTTTACATTCAATAACGCCTTCTGTCGACAGAACTCTGTCGACAGAAGGCGTTATGCCTCGTAAAATGAGGTTTACCAGCGTCGACAAAACTGCTGACTTTATGTCGACAGAACTCAGCGGTAGTGTAGACGCAGGTATAGTTTTGTCGACAAAAGTCCACTTTTGTCAACAAAACTCTGTAGTCTAGACACACCCTCAGCTTCACCATGGCAAACCACTGTCCCTCTGCTGGTACTCCCTGCCCTGCCAGCCCTGTTGCAACAGCACCAGCCCCGCCAGCTTTCAATCTTGATGCACCTGCCCTGTTGCCCTCCCGCCCCTTGTGACACACTGCTCCTCAGCAGCCGGGGTTCCCGACCAAGCTAGTCCTACTGGGGCAGCACCAGCCCAACCGGGGCTCATGGCCACACCACAGAAGACTGCTGCCCTGCCAGAGCCTGCTGGCATTCCAGCCACTCTGCCACAGGCTCAGTCCAAATTCAGCAGCAGGGCTCCCATCTGCTGGCCTACCCACAGGCAGCCTGGCTGGGTTCCTGGCTCCTGGCCCTCCACTAGCTTTCTCTGGTTCAGCAAAATCCATGATCCTTCCAGATCAGGGAGTCTTGGTTCAGAGATGTTCAACCTGTAGGCTACGTCTACATTGGCAAGATTTTGCGCAAATACTTTTAACGCAAGAGTTTTTGCGCTAAAGTATTTGCGCAAGAGAGTGTCTACACTGGCATGTGCTTTTGTGCAAGAGATGTGCTTTTGTGCAGAAGCATCTGTGCCAGTGTAGACGCCCTCTTGCGCAAGAAAGCTCTGATGACCATTTTAGCCATCAGGCTTTCTTGCGCAAGAAATTCATGTTGCTTGTCTATACTGCCCTCTTGCACAAGAACACTTGTGCAAGAGGGCTTATTCCTGAGTGGGAGCATCAGAGTTTTTGCGCAAGAAGCACTGATTTCTTACATCAGAACATCAGTGTTCTTGTGCAAGAACTCGCGGCCAGTGTAGACAGGCGGCAAGTTTTTGTGCAAAAGCATTCACTTTTGCGCAAAATCTTGCCAATGTAGACACGGCTGTAGTGTTTCAAAGAAAACAAATGAGAACCAGAGTACATGATATTGGTTAAAATCATCCAATTTGAGTTCCTACATGTAGAGGCCTACCTACATATTTAGGCACCTCAACAGGTAGCCTGGTTTCACAGGTGTTCAATATCCATTAAAGTCCATGAGAGTTGCAGGTGCTTGGCATCTTTGAAAACCAGGTCATTTATTTATGTAACCAACTCCCAACTTTGAAAAACTGGTGGTTAATTAAAATAGATGGTAAAATACAGAGAATTCATTTTAAGTGCTTGAAACAAATTATTGGCAATCTACATTGAAATACATTAGGGCAGCCTCTGGCAGTGATTCTCACATGGCATCCAGAATTCAACTTAGTGTGGCTAAACTCATGTTTAACTGCTAGTCATCTGTCATAAAACTGAAGGCCCAAGAGTATAAATGGTTAGTGTTGCCAGAAATATAAATGTAATGCAGTTTATTTTAAAGATCAGGCTGACTCTCCCCTTTCTCTTTTCTTGCCAAAGCCTGTGACCCAAGTCTAGGTAGGTTTCAACCCCATCATGACAAATGGCAGGGTCAGGAGCTGCTTGTACTCATAGCAGGCCTAAACAGAACAGGAATGAGGATATCTATGACTCCCACCTTTAAAATTTGCTTTAGGCTTTTGTTGTTTCCTGAGAAACATAACAAAAACTCTTCTGGTTTCATCACTTCTCTTTAATTTGTTTGAACAGCTGAAGTTTTCTTCACAGATTGAAGTTATAGCCTCTTTCTAGTATCAAAAAACTTACATATGGATATTTATGTATGTTCCACCCCACCCAGATGTAGGGCAATGTTCTTTCATAGCATTTCAAAGCTCTCCCTGAAGCTGGTCTGAGAGCTGTAGGAGAGCCATAGAGGGTCAGGTGAGGGTGTGGATGGTGGGTAGCTGCTAAGATACAGGATCTATGCAAGCTTGACAGAGATATAAGTCATTTGGAGCAAACAGCATTCTTGAACAAGATCTGGTGTATACAACACGTGGTAATGATCAGTTGTGTTGGGTTGCACTCTTATTGGTGTCATTCTTGTGGCTAAAATGCCTGCTGTTCTT